CAGAGACAGTAAGGTTGGCTCAGGATAGAGCAAGTTTCAGGGCTATTGTACATAAGGTTGCTATGAGTTGCAAAGGACTCAAAAGCACATAACAACAGTTACAACAACAACAACACATTTAAAAATATATGTACATAATAAATTTTATCATGTTGTCTCAGTTAATTTATAAAATATTGTTACCAATATTTTTGGTATATAATGCACTATATAATTATGTGTTATACAGAAATACAAAGTGTATTTATGTTTTTATATAACACATAAATGTAATTTTACTATGGTTTTTCTTCTTTTTCTATCTCAAGTCATATTTCTCTCATTGTAAAATTCCCAAAAAGGGTAGTGTCGCATAATTTGCTTTAATTTAAAATTAAAAGTGTCATCTTCTATTAAAGAAAAAAATGCATTCATTGCATTTGAGTTTGAACCAACTCAGAGCTGAACCTCCAATGGTTTTCAAGAAAGTGTAAGTTGCATAGGAGAAGATTGTTCATCTTGCTGCCCTGAAGCCACTGGTAGATTTAAACTGCCAGAGAGGAAGCACCTTTGGGTTAGCAGCTCAACGTCCTAAGGACTATGCCATCAATTATCTACTCCAATATAAAGGGTATTTACAGAGCATCTATTTATGGTAGGCTTGTAGAGACCTGGGGTAAGTTGATGCAGGCCATGCTATCACATATTATAAGATCATTCATAGAATAGGAGCCGTTCAAATGCCTCCCCACTTATATTTACTATGTAATACAATTTTCAGTATGTATAAGGATCATAGCTTAAACTGAAGTCCATTTAACCTGGGGTTATAGATTGTCTGGCCCTGCCATCAAGGCCCTCTTTCTAATGGAACAGTTAGAAGTATGATTAAGGATCAGAGAAGTGACTAGGGAGACAGCTTGATGTTTGTCCCTCTGTCCTCCTGTCCAGATCCATTTGGAGATGATAGTAATTCACACATATCTGAATATTGGTGTGAATTAACTAGAATAAAAGGATGAGAGGAAATGAAGAAAATGGTTCCTACTGGGCACAGCAGCACTGGGGAGCAGTCCTGCCATGGTGGAAAGTGGCCACCTCTGGTCCTTGGACCAGACATCACATAGATACTGACACTGTGAGGAAACAGACAACAGCAGGCCAGGCATCAGTACCAGCATCTTAATTGAGTCTAGCAGAGCACGCCTACAACACTGGAGTCTTCCATGATTATCTGTGAGCATCTATTCAATAACTAAGAAGAGGTCAATGGTAATATTGATTTATATGAATTTTTTTTAAGTATCCATTTCATCTGGGGGAAAAAATATGGGATATTTGACAGGGGAAAAACGATCCTTAACACTCTTTTAAGTCAAAATTACAAATAAAGAGGCAAATCCCAATATCTATGTTCGTTCAGAGATTCAGCTACTTGATCTGTAAAAAAAAAAAAAAATTACTTGTTGCCACTTTCATCTGTAGAACTTATAGGTGAATATTTTTAACCATTATTATTTCATCAATACTTTCATGTTAATAAGCATCAGTTGCTGTTGATTGTTGTCAAGTCAAGCATGACTCATAGTGACCCTATAAACAAAAGGCCTGAAGCCATATAGTATTAGCTTTAAAAATATGTTCATTTAAAAATATGGATTTTTTTTACTGGTTATTATTCCAGTTTTGCTCTAAGTAGTAACTTGATGAGAGAGGGGAATGCTAAAAGCTTAAAAATTACTTCAAAAGGTGTTTCAATATATTTCTGATCACTGTATTTCTCAAAGAAACAAGTACCCAGTATTGTCCCTATTTTAACAAAATTGAAATGTAATAAACAGTTCATTACAAAGCAAATTAAAGTTCAGTACTATTCTAATAAATATTTGCTCTTCAACTTTTCAACCCAGTTTATAAGCTTGAGAATGTTTGTTGAAAACATGGCATTGTTTGTCAAAAGTGCACTGATTGCAAAGTAGAAGAATTTCGAGTTTAGGATTATCCAACACAACTCCTTCATTTTAGAAATTATAGTATCAACACTCAGAAAGGTGTAATTTACAGACCAACTCAAAGTTAGGGAGAGGCAAAGCTGGAACCAGGTCTCACTCATGTCTTCTCACCCGCAGATATCAGCAAGCTCTCCCTCACAGTTCACGTGTATACACACACTAGTGCATCGCAGATTGCATTGTTCACATTCTTACAAAAAGCGAATAAAATAATGTAATAACTTAGCAATGTGACTAAACATATATGATTGAGATCTCAAACTCAACATTCATTGTCACTTCGTAGGAAAGGATTTATAGCTGACGCTCCAGTGTGTTCCTGAGGCTATAAATCATAAGGGAGAGGACTGTTCCTATTTCTCCCACAGAGCAGCTGGTGAATTTGAGGACCACAAAGACTTGACTTTGGCTAGCAGAACATCTCCTGTGGACTACATCACCAGGATGACAAATGTAACAAACCAACAACAATGATAACAACAAAACCAACCTCAAAGTCATTGTCATTGGGCCTGAACCAACTCAGCTAATCCTCTAGCAGGTTTTCAGGGTTGATAAATCACGTGAAGGAGACCACCCATCTTTCTCCATTGAAATGCCTCAGAGAAAAGATGGTAAATGCCAATACATTCAAGGGCTCGCCTTTGATTTAGTGGCGCAACTTCTCTTCACTAAGTCACCAGATAGACATAGGACAACTTTGTGAAGTGTTTCAAACAAATCCTATTGTTTACCATTTAGCAAGGCTGCAGCTTTCAGGAGACCTAGAAACTGAATTCCCTCTCCTCAGCCAATCATCATGCAGCAGGGTGGTTATGTGTTTAGGTTAACCCAGATGTACATTAGCCCTGGATTAGAGTTTTGTTTTGATTTTCATTTTTGCTTTGTGACAAATGTTGACAGAACAAAGCCCTATGTGACAGCAAGGTGAGGAAATGTTCACCAGCACTGAACAATATATATATATTTTTAACACGATGCTTCTGCTGGTACAGCAACCTAATTGAGACCCTACTTAATTCATGTTTGGATTATAACTGTGAGGCAATCAGGTCTCCATCCCCAGTTCCACTATTACTGCCAACCTGTACCCTATGGTCCAGTTTCTCCTTTTCAATAATTTCTTATACTCTTCTAAACAGGAGCCTCCCTATGAACGTAATACTTCATCATTCTCTCAAACAAGCCCTGTGATGGTTGTGATCTGGCTCTTTGCCTTTCCATAATCTGATTCTCTCTTATCACTCTCTCCTGTCTGACAGGTCAAGCTATTTCCAGGCTTGAATTTAGACCCAATACTTTCTTTATTCTTTATACTCGTCATCATTGCCCCACTCATTTCAACTCTTACTATACCTTTTTTCATTTAGTTAATTAAGTCTCTTCTCAGGAGCTCTGACTCAATTACAAACAAGTTTATGATGTGTTTTTAATCATGTCTTTCTCTAAAGACATAACCATAATTACTTTTTCTCTTTAATTTCACTAATTTTCTTAAAGAGAATTTTTCATCCCTCCCTCCTTTCCTCAACTGGAGATGCTCATTTTCTGGGTTTGATACCCTAGAGACACTTCAGGTGTGAAGACACTTCTCCTATATTAATTATTAAAACGCAGATGTAACTGCCTCATACCTAAAAACAAAAAAAAAAATAAAATTAAAAAAAAGATTCAAACTCATTGCCACTGAGCTGGGGCTAACTCATATAGCTGACCCTTGATTAGGTTCCAAGGCTGTAAATCACACTTGAGGAGACAGCCATCTGTCTCTCATGGAGCCTCTGGTGGTTTTGAGTGGCCAGAGTGGCGTGGCCACTTGGAATGGCATGGCATTTCAGTTAGCAGCACAACTCCCTTTGGACTAGTCCATAAGAGGGAGCACTTCATTCTATCTAAGACAAAATAAAGCTGGCTCTCTTCTCTTCATTCCCCTCAGAATTCCCACAGTGCAGACAGTAATGCCTCCAAGTGGTGGGTCCTTTTCACCTGGCAGCTTCCTGTTACCTTCCTACACTGAAGGCCAGGAAAGTTCTATTCTAGCTATGAAAACCTCCCCAGCAACTGAAGGTCCAGCTCCCTTTAATAGGGCTCTCACTAACTCCAAGGAGGCAGGGACTTCGTGGGGGCTTCAACTTTCTCCTGGCAACTCTTGTTTCATATCAGGTGACCAAGATCTTTAAATTAACAATCTAGGCTTGACCCTCAAAAGAATTTATTTTAAGCAATTCCTCTTTAAGTGCTTAAATGGTACCAAGCAAGCTCAAACTCAATCTGATTGTCATTCAGTTGGAACAGATCAATAGCTCTCTAGCTGGCTTTCAGAGGCTGTCAATCACATGGGTGGTGGTTTGCCCACCTTTGTCCTGAGGAGCAGTTAGTGGATTTGAACCAGCTATCTTTAGGTTAGTGGTACAACTCTTTACACAGCCCTTACTCCATTGTTAATGTTCTCAATAGATTCTTTTCCCTTTCCTCTTCTATCAGCAAAAAAGAGTCAAGTATCACAAGATGAGTCTTATTTCCTCCTCTAGTTTCACTCTGTTGCCCCTGCAAACAAGTAATCCGTTCCCAGGAGCAGCTCTCTCCTGTGCACAGATCATTCTTTCCCCTGCAGGGGGTGGGGTGGGGGGGGGAGGAGAGAGAGAGACGCAAATATCCTCCACTGTTGTCTCTGTCTCCCACTTTAACTCAAAGGAGCCTTGAGTCCAGTGCTCCGACTCTGCTCAAGACAAATCTGTCAACTTGCAGGAGGCTGAAGCAGCGCGACTGTGGACTCCCTTCCACCTCTCCACACTCCCCACGCTCAGGGGACAGCCTCCAGCAGGTGCAGCCTCAGGTCCTCCCTGTCATTGGATCCTGAAACCGTGCTTTCTCAGCCCTCACAGCTCTCTCTACCTGCCCCTGCCAACGCAGTGTACCTTTGAGTCCCAAAGCCAGCGCTTCAGGTTTCGCCCTCTTGGTGGCTTCTGTCCCAGACTTTCCTCTGAAGTGCCAGGCTAAGTCACTTACCCAGGGCGAGGGCCAGCAGCAGTGACAGGGAGCTGGCGCCTTTTCCCACCACCGGCCGGTCCATCAAACCCCCTCCGCGGGCCTGCGGAGCCCCTGCCGGCGTCTTAGTCTTCCTCCTTTTCCTTCTCCCCCTTTCTGAAGCCGTGGGCGACCAAGGTGGGGGGGGGGGTGGCTGGAAACTAATCCCAGAGCCAGGAGGAAGCGAAACTACTCCTTAGGCTGGCACCCTGGCGACAGGGCAGGGAAACACCCAGGGCGGGCAGGCGGCTCTGCCAGTGTGTTAGGAAGGAGGGAACCTCCTATTTATCCCCGCCGCACACACCCCACCAAGGAGGCCCAAGACTGGGTCGTGATAGCCTCCACCTTGCTCCCACCTAAGTTATCCCACACCCACAGCCATGAGTCGGGACAGCCCTTTAGCCCAGCTCACCCGCTCCCCCTGCTGGGTCGCACCTGACTAGTTCATCTCTCAGCCCCTTGGGGAATAAACAAGGGAGGGAGGAGTGGGGAGTCCATGTGCAGGGGTGTCAGAAACGCCTGACACCTCAGATCTGCCTGGAGCACTGGAGGAAGGCTGCTCTCAACTTGGGGAACTCACTCAGAGTGTCCAGACCCAAACGTGGTCTGGAATGTTCACATCTTATTTCAGCTGATTGCTGATGTCATGGAGAAACAAGGGCCAACCTTGACTGTGGGTAATTTCAGGCCTCTGAGGATTTGTGAGCTTTTCACAGGCAATTTCAAGAGTTACTGGTTTCCTTAACACTCCTGAAGTTAATGCGTTCGTTTCAGTGTGCTTTTTTCTTCTGGAATTTGGTTGAATATCTGGACTTTTTGATTCACCAAGGTCAGCTTTATTTTTATTTATTCTGTAGCCTATTTACTAGTCATATTTTCATTTCTTTGCCTTAGTTTGCCTATTCTCTTGTTGTCTTCATTTAGTTGGATCTACAAAAACAAGAAGAAATTTTAGAGGCACAACAATTACTTGTTGGGTTCATTAGCTCCACAGAAGACGTCAAAATCTGTTTCCATGAAGATTATATCTTTAAAAATGCCTTATGAGGTCGTTGCACTCTGCTATGAAGTCACTAGGAGATATCTCTAGTGGCCCAGTGGCTAGAGAATTGCGCTGCCAACCCAAAGGCATGCTTTTCTAATCTGCTAACTGCTCTACAGGAGAAAAAAAGGGCAGTCTCCTCCCCTACAGTTTACAGCCTCTGGAAATCCGCCAGAAGGTCAGCTATTAGTCCATTCCAACTCCACAGCAGTGAGTTTTGGGTTTTTAATGAGACATAAGTTGACTGAGGACACCTAACAACAATAACATAACAGTGAGAATTGTTTCATCTGTGCCTTGCAAAGCTCTGTGTCTACTTCATCACGCCCCCTCTTTACACACAGGTGGAATATGAGGGTTCTAGAGCAAACATAATCTGGAACACAAAGGAATCCTCAGTTGTCAGAGACAAAAATCTGCATCCAATTATAGCGTGCATAGTTAATTACTGTACTGCTCCCAAAATAAATAAAGGGTACAGCCACTATGCTGATATGTGCTCTTCTTGAACAAGCTATTATTTAAGGCCATGGACCTCAAGTGTGGTTGTGTTTCTGTCACATTCAAAACTTCAATCCACCAGATACTCTGCTGGGGAAGGAGGGACAATCTCCTCCTGTGCCAGTCAGATCTGATTTGATGATACACACACAAAAA